ATCTCTTTTCGTACTAGGAGCACAAAGACTTGTCTTCTCCGCTGTCCGATATTGTGGAGCAAAGGTTATCTGCTTTTGCCTTGCGGAAGAAAAACAAGGCTGTAATTCGATGCGATATCCAGCTCTGTGACGTACATTACGTCATGATAAAGAATTCCTTACTATATAACGTGATATGGTACAATGACTCTGGGTTTTGCTATATTTATCTTTTTTAACTTTTTATGAATACGAAACTCGTGTTCTGGAACTTCAGTAAGTTTGAACAGTTCAACAAAACAATTTTTCATTATTTTGTGATTTTCAAATGTAGTAGATATTCAAGGTCAATGAAAGCCCTCGAGTCACTTGTTACAGTATCGGCGAATTAATAACCTGCTGACTCTTGGTGATCGCGTCTATGCAGAGTAGCGTATTTCGAAAGAGAAAACAAAATCCATTCAGAGCGAATAGAATACTTCTGACGCGAACATCTGCCAATAGTCGCACCCGCAGAATGGTAAGTCACGAGAGCCCAAATCAACCTCTCTCAAAGCGGTCTTCTGCCACATGGTGATTGTGTGCGGGTGAGTCTGCCGCTAAGCGCCTTTATAAGCTCCACAACACACACACACACATGCACACAGTGACACACACACTACAACACACTACACACACACACACACAAATCACGTTGACGCACCATGTCAGCCAACGGGAGAGTTGAGTCGCCGATGAGCCTAAAAGCGATGCCTGTGGTCGATAGTACTCTCGTGAGGTTGCGGGAGCGCAAAGCAAATGTCGGTAGCGTTCGAAGGTAGCGCGCCTGCAAGAGAACTTGATTTCGCCGGAGGGGGTAAAAAGAAGAAGAAAAAAAACTAACAGGGACTGCTGTCTCTCGGTGCTCGCTGGACACCTCGGTAGGTCGCTCCGAGCGCACAGCCCCAAGAGCCCGAACGGGGCCGGTGGTGGTCCCCGAGTTCGATGCCGGGGCGGGCCAGCTGTTGAGGGCGCGAGCCCCTGGGATGCACCGGCTGCGGGGGTGGGGGGCGGGCGGCGCGTGGCGCCTTGGCCGCCGGGCGGTGCCGGCATCGATGCGGTTCAAGGCCTCGGCCGAGGGGAACGGGGTCACCTCCCCGCCCCGCCCCGCCCCTCACGCCGCGCGCCGCTCAAAATGTTCATTATGAGATCGGCTTCCTTAAAAGGCAATCGGGGCATACGCGCCCGCCGCCCGGCCGCTCGCCAGCGACGCTCGATGACGTGGATTTGCCGTCTGTGAGCCAACACGTCGTTACAAACATCCTTCGGCGCGGCGGGCGCCGAGGGTCACGCCGCCGGACGGGGCGGCCCAGCGAATGGTGGCGATCGGCGCCGCTGGGTTTAGCGGGAGGCGGGGCAAGGTCGCTGGTTTTATTCAGGCGCAGAAAGTTCATTGCACGTGTCAAGGACACGCTTGTTTCAGACGAGCGGTGTTAGGAAGTAGTTGGTGGATTCCTACGTTTTACATCGAATTAAGCAAGCCCATGAATAAAAACGCGTTATGCAGTGGAGTAGGATCAGTAAAGATCGTCATTAACCTTCAAATCTAAAATGAACAGGAGAAATGGATTAGTTATCTTCACTCTGAAAAGAATGCTTGACATTCCTGCCAGATAAAAGCAGTGAACTCTACTTCCTTTTTCCTCAGACAGTAAACCACACTTTTCCTTATTACTTATAGAGTCAAGCTCAGAAACATATGCCGAGCCATTACAGCTCCGTGATTCCCAGCACCAAATAATATATAGTTTGAAATAGATGTCACTTTAACTGCCGAAAGTGTGTGTTCAGGACGTGTGGAGTGAGAGGAAATAGTACGTATTTTGTGGGCCCGGGAGGAGGAGCTTACGGCCACCTGAGGACCCGAGACCCCGCGTGTCCGGTCGCTGGCCGGGCGGCGCCATATTTATCGTTATCTGAAGAACGATGCCGTGTCATCGGAACGCAGGCGCTGCGCAGCGGGGGCGGCCGGTCTCCCAAGCTCTCCCCTGAGGAATTCGGCCTCTAATCCAGAGGGCGCGGCGGCAGCCGCCGGGGAGAGGGGTGGCGTCGGGGCGGAGTAAAGGGGCCCATACGCCGGCAAGTGTCGCTTGCGAGCACGTAGCTTGTCAATCTGTCGTTGCCGCCGCCCGTTCATGATTTGTTGCCGGCAGCGCGCAAGCTCAGCGGCGTATGCCGGTGTACGGGACGCTCGAAAAACAGCATTTCGTCATGTAATCGCCAATCCGAGTTGTCAGTGGTTGCATTCGAATATTACGAAAGTTGTCATAATACCAGGTGGGCTCATGCGTATATTTTGTGCTTTGTAAATCATTGTTTAAAAAGAAAGAATAGCTTCACACTTACACCCAACTTCGAACGTTTCTGATAACCAGTACTACGGAGTGGGGGTGCCTTAAAAATGTAATAGTACACCCGGAAATTTGCGTTAGCAGACTACGCCGTAATAAAAATAACTCGTGTCCCTTCTGGGATACGAATCCCTAATTTAAGAACACATGACCCACTTTTTCTGAGTTCTGCACGACGGAAACTGTCTTGGGTGTCGCGGGTTGCATGTGCACCTACTTTTCCCCCCTACATACTATTTCGCTTTGATTTTTTCATCCTCAATCTGTTTGCTGCAGGACTAGTGACAATAGCACACTTACGTGTTTTATTTCCACTGTTTCCTATTAATGGTACAAAACCTTTGCTTATTACATATAAAGGGGGTAGTCCCAATGAAAAAATACCTTTGGTATTTTTAATTCAATGCCCCGCGACATTTTGCTAAATTAAAATTTTTGTTGGAATGAATTGGACTGTCCATGCCATGGTTCTGCGTCCCTGGCACCGCTCAGTTCAGGAATGTGGCAAAGAGAATTGCGGGGCGCAGAGGGGCCGGGGGCGAAACGGGTCAGGGGAGAGGAGCGTCTTTCGCAGCTTCGTATGCTATTTCTGCCACGTGACCTTCTTTCCTCTCGCGCACGTGCGGACAAATCTTAGAAAACGCCAGAGGGCCAGAAATAGTCTGCAGAGAAGAATTTCTGACTGTTCTCCTTAGTTCATTATTTCTCAATTTGTCGTAAACAAATATTGTACGTAATGATAGAACGTCAAATATGTTTATATTTCTCTTAGTAATACATGTACATTGTAGGCAAGTTACGTTTACCCTTAAAATATCTCCGTCATGCAGACGAAGCTTGTGTTCTAAGTCTTGCGTTTGGAGATATGGAATTTCCATGTGGAGAATGATTAAGACATGTCCATGTTTTCCTAACTCAGCGGAAAATAATGAAAATCGTTGTTAATTAAGTTCACTGCAATGGTGACATGGAAGTTGCATTATTCATAGGTAGTTACAGCAGCATTGTACGATGGGAAAAACGACAAGAAGAAAATAGGTTGGAAATAAATTGCCTGGCTCCAGCGCAGCTAATTGCTTGACGCTGAACGAATCGTGTGAGGAATGATGGATGGCTTTGGCATTCGAGTGGGTGATTCATGTTCCAGACGGACTTCTCATTCACAGGGCACGATTGTGGCTCCTTGCGCTTTCCGCGTCGAAGTGTTTGTAAACCATTTATCAATTTTCTAAGGAATTTTTAATTTAATTGAATTGACAAAAAATAGTTGGTATTCTACAAAGTTTGTTTCGGAATGTCGTCTAGTAACCCATGGCTGCCTTGTTAAATATTATAAAAAATATATAGACTGCGAGTGAGAGAGAGTTACATTCAGTGTGTAATTCTAATCTGTTGCTCTTTGGTAATAGTCTACGGACAGATGATGACATGAAAGATTGTGAGGGGTAGCAAATTTACTAGACGTTGGATGCTTGTTATCACTAATTTGTCAGTGTTGAATATATTTATACAATGATAGTATGTTCATGGTTGTCAATAAATGTTCCATTAGCTTCTAATTAGCTCTGAGAATATCAGACATCTCCAATGTAGAAAGACAGCGACACGATAAGAAACTTGCATGTTGAGCAGAGCGATGATAGTTACCATAGAAACAGTGTGGGATGACAGCGTGCATCTGTTCAGACATATGTGGGCACGGTGGCCAGGTTTCTTTCGTTGTCTGGACAGAGCCCAATCACGTTCGTCTTTGTATTACACTCATCAGTCACCGTCAAAGGCAGCTCGGCAGACATGAACTAAGAGGCTGCCTGCAATGAGCCTACTGATTGTTCCTAACGCGCGGCATTCATGCATCCATCTCGAACGTCATTTCAGTCATCAAGGAGTTGAGATATTATCGTAACTGAACGGAGAAAACGAGTCAAATGTGATTCTTTGGAAAATTTATCACGCACTGATCATCCGAAAAGAATAAATTATTTTGTCTTGCCGTACGGTTAGAGATTAAAAACCAGTTGAATGTTTGAAAATCTGGCTCACAAATGTTTTGATACAAGAGAAAATCCAAACTTACCATATTAAGCTTTTCATGTAAGATCCATCTCATTGATGTAATTCATTTACACCAAGACAATACGAAAATGCCTCAGCAAGAGGACATATCTTCGATATATTCACCTGCAGTCTGGAAGTGTAAATAAGATGTAATGGTTCCCAACTTTTATCGATAGTCAATTTTGCATGTAAATAATACATTTAATAGTATTTAAAGTACTTTTAATACTCTGTAATTTGATTTGTTTTAGTAAGGACTATATGGTTTATTACGACAATGCACTCACTATTTAAAAATGTATGCCACTGTTCATTTTAATTAATGTTCAGTTTTTGTTTTACCGACAAAGCGGAAGTTGTAAAGATAGGTTGCTTTTAAGTTGAAATGTGTAACTAGGCTCATTTCTAAATATTATCCCTCAAGTCAAAACAGAAAGACGATATCAAGCACTTTAAATAGTAGAAATAGTTGTTTATTTTAAGATAATTTGCTTCGCTTTCATTCTAAGGAAAATTTGTTCGCTTCGATGAGGCATACGATGACTAAGGGCGGCTCTTCCTCTTGTGTTGCAGCCCGTAAACCCCCCCAACCGCCGCCATGGACGCGATCAAGAAGAAGATGCAGGCGATGAAGCTGGAGAAGGACAACGCGATGGACCGCGCCCTTCTCTGCGAGCAGCAGGCCCGCGATGCCAACCTGCGGGCGGAGAAGGTGAGCTCCGGCCACGAACCACGTCCCTCTGCCTCATTGTCGAGCACTGCCCCCTCAGACCCTCTCAGCCACGCCCACCGAATGTGCCTCATTGTCGAACACTGCCCCCTCAGACCCACTCAGCCACACCCACCGAATGTGCCTCATTCTCGAACACTGCTCCCTCAGACCCACTCAGCCACGCCCACCGAGTGTTCGCTAGGATTTTTCTATCCTAACTTTTTGCAATGCGAATTCTTGTCAAATGTGTCCTCCTACATATTTACTCTAAGCTAAGCACGCAATATTCACATACGTTTGCGTCTCACGAAATTTTAGCGACATGAATGTGAATTCAGGCGCAGTATTTTGTGCTACAAGTACTTCATTAACCGTACTTTACACCTTTTTTTCCACTATCGTATACTCCTAATATTCTGACATTTGTGTATTCATTGTTCACAGCTCCTACCTTTATTCCTTCCATGAATTCACTTCTGAATTGCATTGTGAAACAAACATTTCGAAAAAATACACTTTCTCGACTCACATTCTGCTCCGTTCGCACGATCCTTTCATTACGTGCGTCAGAAAGTAACATTCTCTCTCCAACACTCCCAAAACTTCTCCCACAACACCTGAGCACCTAAAACCTCGCACCAGGAACCGTAAACAACGTGTCCGAAGAAGCGTTCCCTTTCAAAATGAACGACGCCGTTGGCGTTTGACGCCTGAGTTCCGCCCGCGGCGACGCAAGCACATTCACGCGCGTGGGCATGACGCACGGGGCATTTCTCCGTGAACCCGACGCACGAGTACCCGGAGAGCCGGAAGACGGCGCGCGCGGGCGCCGGGAATGTTTTCCATTGTTGCGGCTGAAGGTCGCGGCCGCCGCCGGAAGTTTTCCCTTGTTCGCCGCCGCAGCTCCGGGCGCTGAGAGCGCCTCGGTGTGATCGGAATCACAAGCTAACGCGAACCCAGGGTAGAGAATGTTGAAAGTTGCCAGGGACTTTTTCAAAATTAATTTCTCTATACTGCTTTGTTTCGTTGTATTCTGATACACTTTTGATTCAATGAGACTGTTTAGTTAACTATTTTCGTTAACTATTCTTGTCACAAATTCTAATTTTACTTGCACTACCTACATTATTAAATAATTAGGGAAAATGTAATTCTGTAGCACGGTGTACAATTTGTCAGCATACCATATCGTTCTCGGAAATCTGTGGCTTATTCTATGTAGTAGCTACGTTTAATCGTTCTAGGTTCTAATTGTATTATTTCTAATGTAAATGTTAATCGTCATATGTTAGTCATTGGTGCATTGTCTACTTGCAAAGCTTAAAGCCTAAAATAGTCCCTTCTTATTATTGAGACCTTCAGTCATTTTTTTCCCCCCCGAATGTTCAAAATGTCAGTATTGCAGAACGATATGAACAGTTTTCTCTTCGTGCACCATACACCACGTGGTGCGTTCGCATACCGCCTGCTCCCGATCGAGCGTCGCGAGGGCGTGGGTGCCGCAGCGCGCTCGCCGCCCACGCCCTGCCGTCAGCGAACGCTTCCGCCTGCTTGAGGGCAGAGGACGGGGGCACCACGCCGCCCCCGCTGCCTCCCCGCCCCCGCCGCCCTCCTCTTGTCCTCTTCGCAAACGGCGTTGCACTCATAAATATTTGTACTACACTACAAGCAATATAATATTAATGTATAGTGTACTATTTTATATATTTATATAAACCTATTATATATAATCGGTATATATGTATACCTATTACTTATTACATATATTTATGTTATATATTTACATTTAATATACAAATACACATGTATTCCTTGGTACTAGGACTACAATGGAAGAATTTTGGTCTACTGAAGTGCCATTAACGTTAGGTTACTCTAGAAGTTGCTAATATCATTAATTACATTACGAAGGAGAGGAACACGAGGCGAATTGGTATTTTTCCCAGAGAGAACGTTCAAACTTCCGAGGGGATTGAATAGACAAATTGACACATGAGGACCACTTTCGCTTACGCAACAGTGCCAATAAACCACTTTCCCAATCTTCTTGATTGAAACATTTTAGAGTATGGAGATCAATTATGGGGCACCTAGGTCCTTGGCAGGAAAACATTAATGCTTTTTGAGCGGGAAACACAAGATTATCTAAGGAAGGCGGTCCCTGCCACCCTTCACTTCATTCAAACCCCAGGTCATTAAGCACATTTTTTCCAGTCTTAAACAGTAAACTTTCTATATACTGTAAACAAATTCAACGTTTGTAATTTAAACTGAGTATCTGAGTACTTAAACTGTAGTTTAAACTGAGTTTGAAATCGAGTCGGTTGAGCCAGTTTGTCCTATACAACCATTGTTTTCGTATATGCGCCAATTATATTGGATACATTAATTTTGGTTCCTTTCTCAGTAACCATGTAATTACTTTCACCTCTATTTGATCTGATACAGTATATGCCTCTACTTTTCCCCCATTACTTTCTTTCCTCGTTTTCTCTCTGCTGTGTTCTCACAACGAAGACATTTTTTTACCTCCACTGACTTTGCTTGCCCTGGCAGCTCATTCCTACACTGATATTCTTTCTGGCTTTGCATCCCTGCATTCATTTGTGAACTCGACTGTCTTCCTACAAATCCTTACCTTTATTTGTGCAGCTCCACTCCCACTGCTCCTCTACATAGTACCCTGCCTTCACTAATCTGCACTGGACCCTCTCTTCGAAAATCATTTTCTTCCTTTGGTACTTCCCTTTCTTTTCCTTCCATTCTTTCCCCCACGTTCTCACTGCCGCTACCCTTGGCAGTTCCCCACCTGAACGTGACTGCCGCAGCTCCCTCTTCAGCACCATCATTTCTGTACCCCTGATTCTTCCCGGCCTTCGCGCTCCCACCGCCCCCGCCGCCAATCGCCCCCCATCACGTGACGCGCTTCCGCGTGCGCCCCGTAAATCCAGCCGCGCTGCGTTCCCAGCCTCGCCGTTTGACAAGCGCCCACCGGCGCGGCCCTGCCGATTCGGCGCTTCTGTGGAAAGCAACTGTCCCACAACGGCGTCACGCGAGGAGGCTGTTGCCCGCGGAAAGCGAACGAAATGTCGTCGGTGAATTGGTTGCGGCACAAATGTTTGCACAGGAATTCCGGAAAATTATTAAAATATTTGGAATGATAAAAAACCTTTCTTACGCAACTATTGTTCATGAATAAAAATGGAATGAAACTCCTAGCGAACTATTCACATCTAATCCCATTCATCATTCCATCTATTATACTGTACCTTAAACCAATATGTACCTGCATAATTTCCACAGTAATGTTTGTGTATATTCTATTCTCGTATGTCCTCCAGCCGGCATGAAATCGAGGATTCTAATTGTCATTTCATCATTTCCTTAAGAGAAATTTCCTTTCTGTTATTCCTGGAGGCCTGGCATCCTCGTGGAATCCTGTGATCGGAGCGACGTGGGTGCACAAAAGGTAACGAATTTCGTGTGCGACGCACTTTCAGGCTGAGGAGGAGGCCCGTGGCCTGCAGAAGAAGATCCAGACCATTGAGAACGAGCTCGACCAGACCCAGGAGCAGCTGATGCAGGTCAACGCCAAGCTTGAGGAGAAGGACAAGGCCTTCCAGACCGTGAGTACTCCCACGCAGCTCACGCACCTGAGCGCGCGCTGCCTCTTCTTTTTTTTCCGATTGGGACCAATGCGAGTGGTTCGGTTGGATATAGGGAAATGTGATTACATTGTTTCATTTCCGCGACTTTGTTCGGGTCTTGTTTACAGGATGACTTTATGTTGCCAAGATTTAAAACATGTTTGTTTATGTTTTGATCACCCAGTTGGATGTTAAATTTGAATCAAATTGCTTTAGAATCTGTAAGAAAATTGAAACGACAATTCCAAAACTTGATTTGAAAGTATAATTTCTAGCCCCTATTAACTTGCATTATTATTTAATGCAGTATTTCACGAAAGGAAAAGAAATGGTGTTTTTCACTTCCTAATCCAACCCTGCTTTTCTGTAGTGTATGTGTTACGAGGGAACTTGCAATCATGCGTTGCATTGCAATAGGACTCAGTAAGATTCTGTACTAGTTAGAAACAATCAGTTTTAAGATTAGTTAATTCTAGTCATTGTAGTTGAAGGAAAGTAATATGGACCCTCTCTTGAGAAATTAAGTCAACATTTATGCAAATTTATGAAAAAACGAAATTTAATGTTGCATTCAGAATATGTTTGTTTAAGAAAAGTAAATATTTTCTCATCGACAAAACGTGTCCTTGAATGTTTGGGTCGTTAAAAAAGTATTCTACTAAGTGTTCCTACAATAAAAAATGATCATGCTCTTTTGAATAACATTGGAATAACTCTCTCTTTCAAGTCATTCGTCCTATGTTGAACGTTTCACGTAATATGGAACGGAATTGTAAAGTGGTACGGAAATGATATTTTATTCATGGATATTTGTCCATGAGCAGCTGGAAGAAAAATGCATGCGTTACTTTAATTCGTGGAGCGATACCATCTTGAACAAGGCATTAGCGTTCAGTTTAAAAGAAATAAATTACCATCAACTGCATGTAGTCTATTGGTTCGGCCTTGAGGTGCATAGATTTATTGCAGCACGTTACGGAAAGTGAGCACGCCTACCTCCACGTCCACAATTAGTCAGAGAAGCAGCTCGGATGTCTAACGGAAAAGGTCGTCAGCATCTCCGGGGAGCAGCTTCTGGCGATGGAACTAAAGTTCTGGAACTAAAGTTCCCCGACTCGCATCCGGATCGTACTCGTTACGGTCATCGCCTTTGCGATATTATGAGCGCCTTTGTGTGTTTGCTCAACTACTTGCGAGTTTCGGTAAAGTCGTGCACAGTAGTATCCTACATACTCCCCGGGAAACGAATTAGGTAATAAATTGAACACAACTTGGTAGTTCAACTGAAAGTCAAGAAGGAAAAAAATAGTGGTGGTTTTCTGAGCTTCTCTTCATTTAAGAAAAATAGCTCTCACACTGCGAACATTTCATTTGTTTTTCTTTTTTTTTTTTTGAAAATGTGTGCTATTTGTTATAACAACAGCTTATAATAATCTACTTGCCTTTCGTTACACCCTTTTCATAAAAAACAACATTGTTTCGATTTTGTGTCTCAATACGACGTTTTTGAAAAATGAGAGAATCATTGCCATGTAAATATCGATTTTAATTAATTAAAATGTTTGAACAGAAATATCTCTTCCAAATATGATCCTCCCAAGTATTGGCCTAAGAGATAAACATTCAAGTTTTAGTTTGGATGTCGTTCTGGATTTTCGGTATATTTTGTTAATGTCTGCACAACCCATTTCCACAATACCCTAACAACAGAGATATTCCAAGAACACGCAATGCCTTGCTTTGGTTAACCCGTCTCGGCAGAGAAAGGACAAGCATCTGCACACTCACTCAACTCGGCGCCCGGCGCCGGGTCGCGTTCCGGTCGCTGCCTGGGCGATATTAATGCCAAATTTGTACGCGTCCAAATTTGTACGCGTTACGAAAATGCGTTACTCGGCTGCCTTTAGCGGCGGCGTGCTCGTTATGGGGCCGCAACGTCCAATTTCGATTTACGATCAGCGACCAGGCGGCGGCCCCGCCCCGTCGGACCCCCGGAGGGGGCAGGGGGGTGGGCGAGCCGTAATTGGCGCGGGCGGCGGTGGGGCATGACGGGCTAATTGCGGCCTTGGGCGCCGGATTTGGAGGTGTCATAACGTGGCTTAACGTCTGAGACTTCCGCCCCCGTCCGACGCGCGTGGGTGGCTTGGCCGACGCCCCCGCCCCCCGCCCCCGGCCGAGTGACGGGCGTGATGCGTTTTGCGGGAGGCGGAAGTGGATCAAACAAACGAGTGGTGTGAAATACATCGTGGTACGGACGGGGCTTTATGATGATACTGCACGAGGCGGGTGACATTTCATTGTATTTTTTTATTAGGGGCTTTTTTAAAACGTTAGTGCTACATGGTCATTACTTAGGGTAAAGGCAGTCGAAAAAAAAACGTACAATAAGAAAACTGTACATAACCAATTAGACTTGTCGTGAGGAACATCCTTTCTACGTACTTGTTGAATACGTAGTTTCACCAAAGGGAGAACCCATCAGGAATTTAAAACGACGTCCAACGACTCCCGTACGGTAGAGAACTCCCCGGGAGAGCTATGCTCTACGCTCTAGGAAACAAGTATCAAAACAAATAGCTATCTCCAGTACTGCGTAATTGATTATTGACGCACCGGGTCCGTTTCAAAGTAATCTCAAACTGTCAATAAAGCTTTTTGGCGAACCTTCATTTGGGTATTTGAGCGATGTCAGCCGCGCGCCCAGTGCAGTCGCCGTGTGCGGGGCGGCGCGCGCAACGCAACGGCGCAGCGCCAGGGAATGCGCTCGCGATAAGCGGCGGGCGGCGCGAAGGGCAGCGGCGCGCTGCATGCGTTCAGCCGACGCCTCGCCAGCGCCGCGAGCGGAGCGGTTCGTCCCCAACCGACTAGAGACAGCCAGGCGTTTACGTCTTGTCTTTTCTCTCTCTCAGTCAGGGTTTTGTGTTCAACTAACATCAGAAAGAGCCAAACGGCTGAACGATGTTATATTAAGCTCTTAATACAATTATTTGTTATAAAAAAATAAAAATTAAAAAGAACTAAGCAGCTGCTTAGTGTACCAGCCTTCAGGTGAGGTTTGTAGCGAAATAGTACACGAAGAGGAAGCGAAAAATAATTTTAATTTTTTTGTTTAGAAATAAAATTAATATTGTTGGTAATAATGTAATAATCGGCCAAACCTATTTTTTCTATAATTATTTCAAGAAGCAAACGCGTGTGTTTCTTGCTTATTTTTTTATCTAATTTATTGTGAAATTTTATAATTACATTTTTTTATTTATAGTTAAACTTGTAATTAGTAAATAAGTATCTTGCTACTTGTCGATTTCAGTTTTAAGATAGCGTGTCTATTTTCTTTTGCAAACGCTTTTTTAAATAAATGATAAACGTTATGTTTGATTTTTGCTAAATTATCAAAATGGAAGTCAGATCCTACCAACTCCTCTGAGGAGGTGCGACAGAATCGTCGTTTTTCGATATCTGCTGTCGAGAAGTAGAAACACGTACACGTACATTCACAATACTGTAGAAATACAAAGCTCTTCCAATTTCCCTCTCAGGATTTAAATTAAATATTGTCTATTCAACAGATGCATTTTATGAGTATCTCGACCACAATTAATTCATAATAAAGTGGAAATTGTTTTTGCAACTACTCACTTTTACAAACCACCGGACATAGGGCTGGGGCCGAAGAAATGAAGTGTCACGAATATTCTCATAAAACAGCAATGGCGGTAATAAAGCTCCGTTTCCCTTATTAAAGCGTATCGATATTTAGAGATGATCTTATTACACATTGGTCAGAATCTGTATAACCACAAAGAAAAAATTCAAAATCTGCCAGAACAACAAAAATCTTTTCGGAATGGAATAATTCGCGAATCGCTTTCTAAGTAAAACTTCTCGCTGATAACGGCATTTTGTTCGTCACGCGGAAAAAGAACGTCGCATTCCAACTGTTGCATGAGAATTTCCACCATTGGGAACTACTCTTGCTCACACTTTAGTCTGAGAAGCGCGAGAGACTTTCAACCACTATGTAAGAACACTGCAACTAGAAAGACGACTTGAAGTAAAGAACATGCATTACACACGAATGATTTGACGATCCACTCTTTTGTATGTTCTCAACTCGTATGATTTCTTTGTTTTTTTGCGGAACCAAAGTAAGCCTCTTTCATATTTATGTTCCGCAACTTTAGAAGGAAAGGCGGATCATCATTGTTGAAACTAGTAAAATTTAAAGTTGTGCCCGAAAGTGAAAATGCCCCAATGTTAATAACGAATTTCGTTCCTGTCAAAGGCAACGAACTGGCATAAATTAATACTCGAAAATAATTTCCAGACAGTGGCGCACAAAAAGGAAATTAATCAACAAATGATGTTAAATAATTTAAAAATAAATTTTAAACAGGCAGAAAATGAGATGTTTTTACAGAATTTATGAATCACTGAAAATAATTTATTCTTCAGATTCCGTAGTTGCGAAATGGGTAAGTCAATACATAGCTGTATATTGTGCAACAAATCAAGTTATAGGAATGTTGGGTGACAGCCACTTTCATTCGTGTATTACTTATTGGCATGATTCACGAGAGATTAGCGACATGAACAGCTGGGAGTATCGTATGACAAGTACATTAATGGAATGTAAAGAACAAGTGTGCAATCCAAAACCTAATGAGGATCTTCACATCACCAATTCCATTTTCGGAATTTCCTCAAGCATTGAAAGCAATGCATTTCCTTCATGTAAGCATTGAAAATTAATCCCATTCGGAATTAGTGCTACAAAAGTAAAAAATTGAGAACCTAGATTATGTTCTAAATTCTTTGCATTGTACCTTTTAACTTTTTAAATATGAAACTTTCATTCATTGAAAATCACTTTCGTTACACAAATTAACGCATAATTACTATTTCGCGAGTCGAAAATAGGAAAATAAATTGAGATATTCTGCTTCTAATGAAATATCACTTATTAAAGCAATTTAGCAAATTCATGCGTTCGTGTGACCGAGGTTCGTACTGTTTCATGCAGTGACGAGGCAAAATGTGTTTCGTTGTAATGGCGGCGTTGCCTGCCGTCATGTTCGCCGACTCTCGAAACGAAAATAAAAGTAAAGAGAGACGCCAGATATAGATGAAAATGGTACCTTCAACCAGTCATCTCAGAAGCAATTGCTTTACATGGGCGTATTTAAGGGACCTCAAATTTAAGGTGACACCAATCGCCTAAATTCAATACCAATTTTCTCCTGTGGAAATAGCACCACAGCATGAATTTGCTCGTAATAGCGAAGCGTTTCCGCCATGCTCATTGGTCAAGAGCCAGGTCATCACGATACCTTTTCGTTAACAAATAACTCGGTTGACAGAAATATAGTCTTGAAACTTATTCATGTACAAGTTAAAACAAATGATTCATCTTCCAAGGGAAGAGATACTGTTTGGTCAATAGTCTTCGTTGTGTTAGTCACTGTGACAATGCTCCAGAGATTATTCTCAAATAGATAAAATGGCTATTTTCTCTTTATAAGAGTCTTTCCTACACAATCTGCTGGGCCGTTCCGCACGCATTCCAGTCAAACATTTCACGAGTGAGCGTGCGGAGGTAACAGTATCCGCGTATTTTTGGATGCCCGGGCTCCGCTGCGTTAAAATTAGCAGCCCGGCGCGCGCCGCCTCCAAATAAGGGGCAGGGGCCGGCGCTGCCAGCACCCTCTGGCGGCGAAGCTGGAGAACGCAGTGGAGGCGGCGGCGGGGGCGCGGTCCCAGACCTACGGCGCGACAGTTTGAGGCGGACAATGCGTTGACTCCGAGGGTGGGGGCCCTTCGCCCCCGTGTCAACATGGGTGACGTCACGGATAGCACCCCGACACGGGACCTCGCGGTCCCCGCGCCTGCCTCCGGCGCCGGCGCCGGGCGGCCCTTATCACCACGCGGCGCCGGCGGCGGTGCCCCCGAGACGCGGCGCGGAGGCTCACGTCGCGGCGGCCGGCACAGAGCGCGCCACGGGCAGGCGGCGAGCTCCGAGGCCTCCGCGAGTAGTAGTCGGCGCCGCCGAGTGGATGCGCGCGCGTCTTCGCAGCGACAGTCGCCAGTCCAAGATGGCAGCAACGATGTGTTGACGGCAGGGAGTATGGCTGACAACACAGCCAAACGTGGATTTTCGTCTTCATCGCCGGTGTCCAGGGGACGAGGAGTGCACGCGTCGGGGAATCCCGGGGACTCGACGTCGGGGAACCCGTTGGAGGCCATCCGCCAGGCGGCGGGCAGCGGCCGCAACCCGTTGGTCGAGCGAAACAGAGCCCGACGAAAGAACGCACGCAGCAACAATGCAGCGCTCGGGGCGGCGACGGGGGCGGCGGTGACGACAGCAGCGGCGACGTCTGCGGCCAGCGCTTCAACGGATGGCAGCACGACAACGACGACAGCGACGACGACGTCACCCAGGAGCAACGTGGGAGGATCTTCCAGCGCAGCGAGTGAGAGTGGAAATGCGAGTGCGGCGGCAACGGACAGTGGCAGTGAAGGGTTGGGGCCTGGCAGCGGCCCCCGTCCGGCAGTGGAAGGCAGCAGCCACAGCGACCACGAGGAAAACCAGGACCCAGAAATTGATGAACTTGCGCGGCTGCGCTGCCCCAGCGAACGGACAGAAGTCATCGCAGAGCGCGAAACGAGGCGGCAGCGCCGCTGCGCGGACTACCCTGGTTTCGCATTCGGCTCCTCGATATTTGGTTCCGACACGCTCATGAAGTTTAACATTATCCGGAACGAACTGCAGAACATTAAAAACTCTCAATTGAAAAGGGTTAGTATCATCGCACACACTTGTCCTCTTTTTGTTGGGTGAGAGCAGACTTTTAACTGTCAGCTGATCGAACGTCACGAGCGCCGCGCGTGTTGGCAAGTTTCTCTCGAGTTTCCGTCCGCGGCCACCGCAGCTCCATCTGGCGCATACTTGTTGCGTGTCGTAAGAGCGGGCGGTCACGTGGCTGCCGGCAGCCAATGGGAGGCGTCGCGCGGCGAAGCGTCGTGCGGCATCGCGGGGCGAGGGCGCTGGCAGCGCCGAGCGACGACCGATATGTGGCGCCCCGCGCGCGAAAATTGTGCATTGTTAACGCAACGAATGCAGAGGCGGGCGCGAAGTGGCTGCCTCCTCATGGGCGTAATGAACGGTTGCCAATTGTTGATAAACGGCAGGAGGTTGCTTTCGAGGGGAAGGGGAAAATGTTGACAGAGCCAAGCCACGTGCGTGGCTTGACAGTTAGTATAGATGTCACAAGCCGAAGGTCAACTCCATTAATGAATGTGATATTACATTCCAACGCGCTAGGGTGATTGCTCTGAGACTAGAGATATTATAAATATGACAAAGAATGAATATGTAGCTATTATAGCAACATAACAATGAAAAAAACTGCTACAGAAATTAATGAGTATGTGTTGATGAACATCAATAATTTTCTTAATATAATTCATCTTATCATTTCGTTTCTTCGTCACGCGCATTCCAGAATTCCTACTCTGCCAATTGGCACTGTAAAGTGATTTTAGAATTTCCGGGTTAATTAAATTGCCCCATTTTCCACGTACCGTGTAGGATTGCGCTCTGTTAAGATCTCGGCCGGACAGGTTTCTTTATCTTGGAGCAACGACTCCCGCCGAGTTCATTATACCGCCGCCTAGGCGCGCTCCCCGGACGGCTGCTCGGAGGCGGCGGCGGCGGCGTCGAGCCGCAGAGGCGCGCCCGCTCGTGCCAAACCACGCACAAACGCGCGCGTCGCGACTCCGTAATTCGCGGCGCTGGGTCGGAAAAAGGGAGAGGGGCTGGAGCAAGCACGCAGCCGCGACCTCGTCGCCCGTCGACTCCGTCTGGAGCACGTCTAGTCCATTCTCTTTTTTTTGTATGTCCCGCCAGTTTTTATAATCCATGAGATTTTCGTCAGTGAAAGCTGGGATGAAAATCGTCTCTCAATTTTTTCTTAGTTTTGAGTCGAGTTTCTGACAGGAAGTGCTTGTTTTTCGAATATTGCCGGTATTTCAAAAAACTTCAGGCACTATTCGTCGTATTGCCGAGTTCGAATCGGGGAAACAGGTATCTTCCCCCTCCGCCGCTCCTCCCGCCTACGTTTCTGCCCCGCCCATGGACTCGCGGATGAATACACTTAGGAATTTTAGGTCGTTTTAATTCATTTCGTTCTTGTATTGCACGTTCATCCAGCACTGATATATGTACATGGAAAGGGGAGCCCTCCCTGTCATCTGTTATGACTTTTAAGGCAGCAAACGAGCGAGAGAGGGGGAACTACTTTCTTATCGAACCACCTTGCAGCATGCCGGTCGGTCACAGCCGGGCTCAGTCGCCAGTTCGGTTCGCGGCCACCATCTTGCGCGAGTTGTCTAGAGTGCTGGGTGCTTCGTGTTGTACTTTTGACGTGTTCCGTGCTAGTTTATTGTCAAAATGACGACGAATGTGCAGCAAGGTACCCTCTTGGACGTGCTGAAGAAGAAGATGAGGCAGACGAAGGAGGAAATGGAGAAATACAAGGATGAGTGCGAGGAATTTCATAAAAGGTTGCAGGTTGAAATTATGCGCCGGGAAGAAGTGAGTACTGCATCCAACCTTATTGACGTATGGCTTATCGGGAAGGCATTTTTGTACGTAAGTCTGGTTTTGCATGTGGCTTCTGTGGGGGGTAACTGCCGGCAGTGGCCGCGTGGACGGAGCAGGTATCGCCGGTGCCGCTATCGAGTGTAGCTCGCTCCCGCAGCTAAACTGGCGTATCGATTGTTGAAGAATTTCACGTTTAGTGGCGGTCTCCTCGGATCTACTTAGTGGCGAATTATTTACAATATTGTCATTTTGCTGGAATTTTCGTAAGATTGTGTAATAGTAATTTAACAATGTTTTTTTTTAATTATTAATTTAGCACGTTCTGAAACTGGAAGTTTCGAAATTTTAAGAGGTTGCGTGCCTGTTGTCAACAAAGCACCCTTGCATTTGTCAGTTGTTGCATCACGTCTCTCGCTGAGCCGAGCAGATGTTCAAAGGACGTGGAGCCGGAATGAAAGTAAAAGTGGGTTAAGTCGAGAGGCGAGAGCCGCCGTCCGTCTTTGCCTTATATGCTTATCTCATTACCATGACGTGCCGCTCACAATTTACCAATCCTCGCTAGTTCGGCTCGTGTACCGAGATAACTACCTGCCCCGACGCGCCTTGGGCGCGGTTGTGAGTTTGCTCTCATCTTTTCGGTCCACCTGCGTACGAGATCCATATTCGTCGATGAGTCACTTTCCAGTCGCCCGCTTCGCCGCCGCCGCCGCCGCCTGTGCTGGCGGGGCGGGCGCCATGGTGTCGGAATTCGGCCGACGTGACCGAGGGAGTCGACGCCGGTTCGTTAGGCGGCTTTCCGGGCGCCGCCGACTTGTTTAGCGACGTCGGGGCGGCCGCGCGCTTTTCTCGCGACGGGTGGGTGGCGCAGGTTTCCTCCGCGTGAGCTGCTGGCTGGCGCGGGGGTGAGGTGGGGTGGGGGGGCGGAGGGTCGGTGTCCGGCGGACCGCCGCCGCCGACCGTCCCGGAAGGGGTGGGAGGCCAGAGGGGGAGGGCGGGCGACTCGCCGTCTGTCGCGCACCCCCTCCGCCGCCGGGTCATGCGGGGGTGATTCAGCGGTCGGCGTCGCACAGTGGGACGGATTCGGGCGACTGAATAAATCGATGTCGTCTCTCGTAAGGGAGGAGAGGCGTTTTCGCATGACGCGAATTGCTCGATGTCGCGATCTTTCTCAGTTCGCCTTCCCCCGACGTCTTCGGAGGACAAAAACCGTTTCTGGCTTCTTTCTTGAGAAACTTTTTGCATCGGCAAACTGAAAAGAGCAATGTTGCCCGTAGAAATTACATGTCACTTGTTGACCAGAACCTTCCGTGTATCTTGTATCCATGTGAGACACGTAAGACGACGTCATCTTCTGTATCTTGCAGATGTGCCCTTGAGGTGGGAAAGAGAGACAGAGAGAGAGAGAGTGAAACCGAAGGAGCTTACGTCACGCCCACATCTTTTGAACATTTATGGGGTTTCAGAATTGTATCCCTTTCAAGTCATATACTTATTTCCTTCGTGAATGCTCTTAATTTGTTAGACTTCCCGTAAATAACCATGGCAATTCCGCTCCTGTCAGCACTGTTGGTCACATTTCTCGCGTTCGTCGCGGTTCAGGAAGGCTGTGAGAGTAGGACATGATAGTAGCATTTCCTTATCACGGATCAAAGACCCCTCCCGACGTTACGTGATGCGGCGGCGGCGTTGATGCGACGGTGCCAACGCAGGCGGCGGCGAAGGCGTTGGCTGCGCGAGGGGACTTGAGGCCGCATTTTATCCCGACTAATCAGTTGCATCGTATCTCTGGCGATATGTCTGATAAGGTTTTTTTTTCTATCAAGGACGTCATCGAAAACTCCCCTCGCTTAGTGCCGGAGAGAGCCATCGAGAGGACTAGTATGCTTTACCTTTTTTTCCTGCCACAATCTTAAGAAAAGTAGGGTAGAATTAAGTTAATTCAATTTTGCTACTGGGGAAAGTTTAGGAAACGTTTCTATACAGAAAGTATGTTTCAATCGTGCCCCAAATTAATGTGAGAAATAGTTTTTCTTACTCCTTGCCTCTGCCAAAAGAAGCAATCAAAATCATTGACGGGGTTGAGGCGACATAATGATATTCATTTCTGTAACATTTTTGTAAGCTAGAGGAACAAGTTTTATTTATTTTTTTTAAGTAAATTCGGACGTGTCTCGTTTTGTCTATACTCTCCTTGCTTCTTTAAACGCACTAGTTCCATGA